GTCCCATGTCTCCAAGTGAACTAGCTGCAAAGTATTGTGAGAAGCTTGCTTGCTAAGCACATTAGCCCAAAATGCATTCCCTGATTTATCCAGCAACACCGTTGAATTGTTGGTTATTAGATTGCAGCAAAACACATGTTTCTTGTAACTTTCTGTATAGAGCAAGGTTGTAACTTTCTTGTATTTAGCCTTGTTCATATTCTAACCGTCCCGTTTTAGCTCAATTATCAAAACTTTTGAGAAAATGCAAAAACTATTATGTAGAACAAGTATTCAGGAAAGAAATGAAAAAGAAGTCGTTTTAATTGACAATAGGTACGATAAGGCCAATGGTTCAAGTCCAATTGATTTCTTGTCATTATGTGTTTATTTCTATAACCAATGATTTATTGGTAGAATAAAATTGCTGTTGAATGCAGATATTATGTTTTGGTGCAGGTATATCCTTTTATGAAGTCTCGGTTGAAATCAAAGGTTGGCATTTGATACAATGTTTTAAGTGACCTTTTGCCGGCAAGGTTGGCCTTGGTGGAGTAGTGGTAGTGGTGAGAGAGTGGTTCAAATTGCACAAAATTGTATGTTTTGAAGTTTTGATTGATATTTGTCACTTTTTTTTTAAGTTTCGTCACTTTTTTGAATTTACGTCAATTTTTTGTCACTCTTTTGACATAAAAAACTTTTTATATGGTTAATGAGTTGATTGAGTTGGTAAATGATGGTGGCAGTGAATTAACTTAAATATACTTGATATTTTGATTGGTATTTTGTTGATAAACTGACTTGATATTTGGCGATGAATGGAGAAAGATAAGGGATGTGATTGGGTTACTTTTTTTTCTCGTTACTTTGTTGAATTGATTCTAATGTTTTAATTGGTGTTTTATCACTTTTTTTAATTTTCATTTTTTGAGTGTTTGTCACTTTTTTTGAATTTCTATCATTTTTTAGTATTTGTCATTTTTTTATATCACTTCAGATTTTTTTCACTTTTTGAGCGACAAACATTTCTTTTAAATGAAATTGACATTCTATATTGTTTTTTAATTAAAAAAAGTAACGTTTTTAAAAAGTGACGTTTAAAAAAGTAACATTTGATATTAAACAGCATTTTTTTTATTTTTAAAATACTTTTTATATGATTTTTTAAAAGATATCTAATTTTAAGGATATTTTTATAAGTTGTCCCTTTATTTCTTCGTAACTAGGAAAACAATAAAGCTATTCGTACCTTTGCCTTTACATGTTGGTTTACACTGCGACGTTTAAATGACCATTATTTCTTTTTCTTTTTTCCAACCAAAAAAGAACAGAGCTTGCCACTTCAACTATTCGGCCAGGTTTTACACTTTGAGCAGTTAACACAAAACCCGCTAATCAGAAGAGATGAAATTCAGTCCGGGTTATTCAAAAAAGGTCAAAATATTGCCCGCGATTTCTCTGGCCCCAAAAATTGAAACCTACCGCCCGTTGAAGAAGGTGTCACCGGCGTAACAAAGAGTTCATTTTGAAGCTATCGCTGGCTTCATCTATTTGAATAGATGACAGACAAAGGTAGATGAAGTTTGTAAATATTTTCTGTTTTGGTATAGGTTGATTTCTACTTAAATATATTATAGATTCAAGAAAATGGCTGATCCATCACCGAACACTGTAAAAATCGTAAATTTTTCCCTGCTAATGTTGTGATTACTCAATAATTGGTTTGTGTTGCTTATCTACGTCATGGAAAATGGCCCAATTATTGATTTACTCTTCTTTTGATTCATAACACATTTAAAGAGCACTTCTTTCTATACTTCAATCGTCTTCTATTCTTTGGAGTTTCATTTGATTTGCAATTTATCGAAGTAATAATTGCTCAAGGCAGAATAGTTTTAACAACTCTACTTCTTAACTTTCATTGGCTACAAAAATTATTATTTCAAAACTAATTTAGTTGTAAGTAAACTTTTTAAACTTAGCCAAACATGATAAATGAGTAATTAGAACCTGTTTTCCATAAGCATCACTAGACTCAAGACTGATACGGTCTTGAGTCTACCAAGCAAAACTGCCGTTATGACTTTTTTCTTTCTTTTATTATTTTTGTAATGTGTTATTTCATTTACTAATTACAGTAATCTGAGATATTAATCTAATTTTTTGGGAATACTTGATTTATCTAAGTTTCTTTATCTGCAATTGGTGAAACCTAGATGCATATGAAATTACAAAGTAGAGAAGAATGATGATTTCAATTCAATATTTGTTCTATGAATTACTTGTAACATTCTTTTTTTTTTTTTTCTTACTTTGGGCAAAAAATTTTTGGAAAAGGTTGACGATGTCTTCTATTAGAAGACGAAAATGACAACATTTTGGACAGTGCAAACTTCATCGGTGATGGAATTGTAGGAGTAAACAGTGTCATTATGCCCGAGGTGGGTATAAAGTTTAATGATGAAAAAGAAATGTTTAATTTTTACAAAAGATATGCGTACGACGTAGGATTTTCAGCTAGGAAAAGAAATTCACAAAAGGATGATGACGTAGTTGTATGTAGTGTTGACATGCAGCCGTGAATGCCGAAGAAGTAGTGTTTTCTCTTATGCACAGACGCCCACTCACTGGCTGGTAGCACCTGGGAGCCAATTCGCTACCTTAACCCATTTTTCTTTATTCACATGGCCTCTTTCTTTCTTTCCTTTGTATACTTTCAATTCACACTCTTATCAAATTTGGCTCCATTTTAAGTTCTAAAACTCACCGTTTACACCAAGTCACCTAACTTATAAAGTTCTAAAACTCTCAAAGACAAACAGAATACCAAGATTAAGTGGCATCAAAAGTATTGGGTGAAATACACTCATCATTCAATTTGACAGTAGGAAATGCAATGTCATACTATTATCCAAATGCACCTCACCAACGTGTAGGGATGGCAAAAAAGCTCGGGCTAGGCCCATAAAAAGCCCGAGTGGCCCTGCTCATGCAGAGCCCAATTTTAAGGGGTCGACTTGAGCCCAGCTCGTAGTTTCAGCCATTTAAAAAAAAAATTAAATAAAAACAAGCAGTTGCCTACAAGGCAGCTATTTGAGCTACCTACACGAATAAATAAATAAGAATTAAAAAAATCGAGTCGAATTGGCTTGGGCAAAGAAAAGCTCGACCCTTTATGGCTCGAGGCGAGCCCGAGCTTCGAGTTTCGGCTTGTTTCCATGACTACCAACGTGGCGGAAACATGTGATTTTAGATGAACAACATTGATGCAGTTATATTCTCATGGTAATAATAGAGGATCATTTGACAGTGGGAAATGCAAGTGTCAAATGTGATGACCCAGATGAAGATTTATATGCTTTATCCGAATGCTGTTCTCTGGTCATTCATCAACAATAGCGTCGATTTTGTGAATTTTTGTGAACTCATGATGATATATATGTGACAGCAGTAACTTCTCTTTCTATATATCAATGTACTTTATGAAACTCTCCTTTATTGTATATATGATAGCAGTAACTTCTCTTTCTATATATTAATGCGGTTTATGAAATTATGCATATCTTATTGGCGTATTCAGTTAGCATCGGTACAGGGAAATCAGTGAACTGGAAACAATAAGATGTTTTCAATCACATTAACATTTCTGAGATAGAAGTAGTGGATGAAAATTACAGATTCTTCCCAAACATATATTACGCTAACATTCTTCACTTCACAAACTACACAATAGAACACATACTACACATCAAAACTGGTAGGGAACCACACAGTCAACAACATAACTACTACTCATGTAGGTCACTTCCCTTTCTTATCCACTTCCGCACTTCCGTTGGCCTTGCGTATTGACACGTTCAATGAAATCTCAATATTTTTTTCTTCAGCTATCCGACAAAAGGATTCGAACAAGCAAGAGAATTGTTGAACTTCTTCGACCAACACATGATCATTTGAGTTCATGGTAACGCTACTCGATCCGCTGCTGGATTCTCCTTTGTCAACATATTCCCAATATTTACAATTAGTACTACAGCAATTGAACATCCTACCCTTGTTCTTCGTGTCCTTCTCGACCTCAAAGCACTTCACAACGCCAATTTTACACCATGAGCATCGCCCTTTTTTCGATCAATCAACAAACAAGTGACCCTTCTCTCGACAGCTATGACAAATTCCAGAGTTCTTTCCTGACATACTGCACACGAATGAACCAGATATGATGCTACATTACAACACATCCACAAAGAACTGTAAAATCTTCAAAAATTTGTATTATTCGAATAAATCAAAATCGAGTAAAATGGATACCAAATACATCATGCTTACATGATGTTTGCTGCGAAATTTTGTTGGAGTCGATGGTTAGTGTCGGAGATTGAAGATGTTGCCGCACACGGTGGAGCTTCGGTCTTACGGCTTCAAAACAAATTACTAACCGTGCGATTAACCTACGGTGGAAAACCCAAACATGGAGACAGTTGCTACATTAACCATCGGCTTCTTATTCCGATTGAGAGATAGAGGAGTGCCGGAGTTTGAATGAGTTTTGCGCACTTTATATAATGGGTCGGTTCAAGTTTGACACATATTTGTTGGTTTTGTTTTTATTTTTATTTTTTTCGAATAATCAGGCATTTGACACGTCACCGTGTCAAGCACCGTGTAAACCGACATGTACGAATAGCGCGATCGCTGGGAAAAATAACCCTTAAACCCAATTAGATACCCAAATTAAGGCCCACTTTCTGAAAGGCCTACAAAAACCCTCAGCGGCTATGCCCCTATAAACACAATGGCATTTCAGTAATTAACCCTAATTTTGCGCTCTATATATTTATGTGAAGCTCAACAAAAAACCCTAATTTTTCACACACACGCAGTACTCTTAACCCTCCCACCCACCCACCCCATTTCTCCCATCCTACTAGCAACTCAAAATGGTCGCCACTACCGTTCGCCACCTAGTTACCGTGCAAGCTATAGAGAATGATATGGCCACTGACGGAGCCTCTTTGCCACTTCCTGATGTGATAAAAGCGTCAATCTGCCGGGATATCGTGACATTTGTTCACGGTCAAATCTCCAAGAATGCTCATCAGCCTTCGTTGTGACCAAGCGCGCCAGACACAGACATCAACTGAGTCATGGGGCACTGGCCGTGCCATGTCGCGTATCCCCCGTGTTCCCAGAGGTGTACTCACCGTACCGGACATCATGCATTTGGGAACATGTGTCGTGGAGGTCGCATGTTTGCTCCTACCAAGATATGGCGCTGCGGCATAGGGCAGTGAATGTTACACAGAAACGCCATGCTATGGTTTCGGCTATCGCAGCAGCTGATGTGACTTCACTAGTAATTGCCCGTGGACATCGTATTGAGGAGATTCTTGAGTTGCCTCTGGTTGTTTCTGATTCCACTGAGGCACTGGAGAAAACAAACGCGACTATTAAAATCCTTAAGCAAATTGGAGCTTATCCCCGACGCTGAGAAGGCTAAGGATAGTCTTGGTATTCGTGCTGGAAAGGGTAAAATGTGCAACCGCCGCTACATTTCCAGGAGAGGCCCTCTGATTGTGTATGATACTAAGGGTGCAAAGCTTGTGAAGGCATTCCATAACATCACTGGTGTTGAGGTTGCTCATGTGTCCCGACTTAATCTTCTTAAATGGGCTCCTGGAGGTCATCTTGGGAGGTTCATCATCTGGACCAAGTCCGCTTTTGAGAAATTGGACGAGATTTATGGAACTTTCGACAAACCATCTGAGAAGAAGAATGGATACGTGTTGCCGAGGGCTAAGATGGTAAATACTGATCTGGCTAGGATCATTAACTCTGATGAAGTGCAGTCTATCGTGAAGCCAATCAAGAAGGAGATCAAGAGGGCTCCATTGAAGAAGAACTCGCTGAAGAACCTGAATGTCATGCTGAAGCTTAACCCATATGCTAAGGCTGCAAGGAGGATGGCACTCTTGGCTGAAGCATAGAGTGTTAAGGCTAAGCAGGAGAAGCTCGACAAGAAGAGAAAGCAAATCACCAAGGTACTGTTGTCTTTACTTTTTATTTGGTTATGGATATTACTGATTAGTTGTCAATTGAACATTCCTCTAATTATCTTCTGCTGCAATATTTAATTAGACCATGTTTATACTATTAATGATCAGACCCTTTTTTTAAAAAATTGTGCACACGTTCTCTGATTAATCATCAGAAGATCTATTCCCGCAATATATATATGTAAATAGTTCAAATATAGTTTTAGTAAAAGAATTGATTTTTAAGTTTTTCTCTTATTTGTAATAAGAGTATACAGCTACTAAGGAAATATTCTCACATGTACGAGTAAAAAATACAAAGGTACAATCATCAAAGGCTAATTATGCTTAAATGAAGATACAACTGAAGATTGTACCTTATTCAAATTGAATTGCCTATATTGACTGTTGATGCTGATATGATAGAAGATTGTGATTAATGACCCCAATAAAGGACCTTAGGTACAGTTATGCCGTGAACAGCCAACCATCTTACTGTAAAAAATTGGATAGATTCGATCTATGGTCTTTGGATTCGTTCTTGATTTTCATTTTGTGTTGGTATCATGAGATAGTTTTTGTACTATTTCAATTCACACTCTTAATTTCAGTTATCTTCATTATGGAATGTTGAATTCAAGTTTGAAAAATTATGTACACGATCATATTTGTAATATTATTTCGACACAGGAAAGTATTTTTCTTCTTTTATATTTTTTTTCATGTATTTACAAAAAACCTTTGTTGTGTTGTAATGGTTCTAAATTTTGAACAATTTCTAATATTCTTTGTTTTGTTTTGCTGCTATGTCTTTTGTGGCATTGTACTGAAATTGAGAAAGATATCAAAATCTGGAGTTTCTTTTGTATATTATTTGGACGATCCAATCTGCAAGGACCATGATTTGGAATTGTTTGATCGTCTCTCTTGAAATAATCTCTTAAGTCCTGCCTCCATTTGTTTTCTGGTTGCTATCATTTGCAGGAAGAGGCTTCTGCAATTAAAGTCGCGAGTAAGTCATGGTACAAGACTATGATCTCAGATAGCGATTACACGGAATTTGAGAACTTCTCCAAGTGGTTGGGCATCTCCCAGTGATTTAACTGCGTTTGAAATCTCTTAGAATCTATTTTGTTTACTTTTGTTTCGTGATTTTGGATTTTAAGACATGAAGGTGGTCATATGGGAGGGGGAATTAGAGCAATAACCTTTCTTTATTTAAGTCGTCATATTTCCCTTCTTTATAATTTGGTGTTTGAGTTTATGGCTAGTTTGAGAAATTTTGGTTAAGACGCGTTTAAAGGATTTGTTATTGATGAATTGAACGTACTTCTGTGATCCAATTTTGGTTGTGGTGTCTGTGATATCTAGCATCTTTCATAGTTTTTGGGGGCTGATGCCCTGAATATCTTCTGATTCTCCTCTTTCAAAACTTGGTCAGATTATCTTAACAACCTATGGAGTTGATGGTTAACCTTGCACTTGAACCTCAGCTAACATAGATGACACTGGTACGAGAAGCAATAGAGAACTGCAAAAGTCACTTAGTTCTCTGCCATAGTTGAAGGTCTCGACTAGATTAGATAGGAATGAATAGCACATTCAGTTACATAGATAGTTATATATAGAAATAACTCTTTATCAACATCAAGAGTGAGTGTGCGAATTGTCCCAGCGTCAAGAGTAGAATGATATGATTCCCTTGCAAAGAGAGAACAGAATTAGATGTTTGGGATGCGACTATGCATGATACTTACTAGTCAATAGACTTCCAAAAAATTGGTCTGTTACCGTAACAGTTAAATACTGTCTTAGTGATGATAGGTTATTTAATGAATGTTTAATAGTTGTTTGAAACATTGATCATTCTATTTGATGACTGACCAACTTTGAGATGTGAATCTGTCTTTTTAATCCCTGGTTGACCCCTCTGATAAAACCTCAACTAATTGTTAATGTTTCTCTTCCTTTTGATTTAAGATGGTCGCTTAAAAAGATGCTATATTTTTTAATGTGTGGATCATAGTTGTGGGATTTCGTATTTATCAAGAATTATGTCAATTGTTTTAATAGGTTAACTAGGTCTCTAATGAAGAGGAAAATACTCAAAATGGAGAAGTAAGATAGTGGCAAAAGAAAAAGTGCAGCAACCACCATGGGCAGAATATATAGATGGAGTCATACTTTCCTTCTCCACCCTCAAACAAACGTCCTGATAATCTATCTTATCACTTCTCCAACTCCAAGCCCCTCCCTGTTCAAAATTAGAACAAACCCTTAGAACGAACCCATATTTTCAGCCATTCATAAATTAGAGGATAAGATTCACTCATTTCAAATTTAAAAACTTATAGTTTAAAATTTCAAATATCAGATTTTAAATTTTTTTTTTTATAAATTAATTAATTAAATATACATTTTATTAATTAAATATATTAAAGTCACAATTCCATATAATTTGGTCACAAATTATAAATTAATTGGTTAGAAATTATTTCTCGATCACAATAAAAATTCTTATAGGTCACAAATTATTTGATAATGACAAATCGATAATTTTATAGGTCACGATTTTTAATTTGGTCACAAATTATAAATTAATTATCACAATAAAAAATTTTATAGGTCACAAATCGAAAATTTTATCGGTTACTATTTTTTCATCGGTCACAAATTTATAAAATTAATACGTCACATATTATTTATTGATCACAAATCACAAATTTTATATATCACAAATTATTTTAGCGTCAAAATTCAAAATTTTTATAGGTCACAATTTGTTCGTTGGTCACAAATCAAAAATTGAAACGTCACAATTTATTTATATTTCACAAATTATAAATATTATAAGTTAATTTATTAAACGATCACAAATTATCAAATTTTTAGGTCACACATTATTTTTTGGTCACAATTTATCTTTTTCATTGATCGAATATCGTTTATCAGTAACAGATTAATCAATTTAATGGTCACAAACGACCAAATAATATATGACCACCACCAACACCTGTGATTACCACATCACCATTGCCACCAACATGGCAACCAAAAGCCCGTCACCGGAACCACCACCACCTCCCGACAACAAATCATCATCTAAAAATACCGACAACACCATGACCACCACTACCCACTCACAACCACCGTCCTACAACCCAAAAAAATAAAATCCCCAACCCTACCATCATCCCAGCCATCGTTGACCACCATTAACACTGCCACCGCAATCACTACCAATCCACAAACACAACAATAGCCCATGTCACCACCATCTCTATCACAGCCACCACCGCACATAACACCACTCACCCAACCACCACCAGAACATACCACCACCGCACCACCCACAGGACTTCACCACCACCATTTACACAGCCCCACACATCACGATAGATAGAAAATGGAGAAGGGGAGGAGGAAGGGCAACGGCAACATAGTTGCACGAACGTTGCAGCGTCGCGCGACGATCGTGTGCAACGGTGCTGCTACCGCTGTGAGGCGCCGATGCGCCGATCATGTGCCCAAACCAATTGTGGTCACCGGAGCCAAAGCAGCCTTTCTTTTACTTGTTAACGTTGGAGCCGCCGGAGAGAGAGACATAGGTAATGATTTGGGATTTTTAGGGTTTGGGTAGTATTAAAAATTTGAATTAATATTTGATTTTGTATAAATAAATTTTAGATCTGATTTTTTAAATTGAATCTTTAAAATTCTGGTTGGATATAATTTCCACTATTTTCAGTCATCTCCATTAAACCAAATGGATAAATCATTAGCATTAAACTACCACCACCCTCATCATTATCACCATCACCATCCACCGCTAGCCATTTCCATTAACTTCTCTCCATTGGGTTTTACCGCCACCACTTCTAAACCTCCTTTACTTCGGATTCAAACCACCACCAACCCCTCCAACACCTTCCTCACCACAGCCACCAACAAGAAAAAGTTTTCCAATTCCTGAGAGCAAATACTCCTCACACTTCTTCAACAAAGGAAAATTGAAGAGGCCGGCTAGTTTACACACAATGTGCAGACCTCCCCTGTCCCAGATGCTTAAGTTGTTTGGTCTACAATTATGCTATCAAAATACCAACGTAGGACTCACCAGGGCCCAGTCCATCATCCAACGCCTCCAGGAGGAGCAGTAGCTCCACCACCTAGATGCTAATTCTCTCAACCTCCTCACGGTGGCAGCCGCTAATGGCAGGCACACCCTCTACACCACCTCCATTATCAAGTCCATTAGGGCTGTCCGTGGGTCGGTTCGGTTCGGTTCTGAAGAGACCCGAACCGACCCAAAACTTTGGGGTATTTAATAAATGGACCCATCGGGTCCAAATATAATTATGGAACCGTTCGGGTTCGGTTCTGTTTGGTTCTGGTCGGTTCCGTTCCGTTCGATTCCGTACCATAATTAAATTTTTTAATATTTACAGCAACACTACATAAATACAACTAACGACATTTCATTCATAACTTTTACAAATTAACGTAGCCCAATTTAAAAACATATAAATAACTAGCCGTCCAATAAAATTAATTCAATGCATACAAATACCAAAAAGTAGATATTAATATTACAGCAAAATTACATAAAGTATATTCATTTGCTTCAAATTAAAATAGGCTAATGGGTTTTAAAAATGATTTGGGCTTTCAAATTAAAATTATAAAATAATCTGATTTATTTAATTAATTTGCTAATTTGTTTAGAAAAAAATAAAATAATTTAATTAATTCAATATAAAAAATAAAAAAATTATTTAGTTTCGGTTCTTCGGTTCTTGGTCTAGACTCGAGACCCGACCCAAACCCATCGGTTCTCAATTCGGGTACCCGTTCGAGTATTTAATTTATGAAGAACTACTCGATTCGGTTCGGAACTTTTGAACACCCCTAAAGTCCATACTTAAGTCGGGTATCTACCCATGTTAAGTCATGAACTGCTGTAGCGACCCTGTTCAATTCGTGACCAGAAGGATCTGTGGACTTGCGGATTCTGAGATGGTTAAGGACTCGAGGCCAGACATAGGTGCTTACAATGATGTGCTCAATGCTTGTGCCAATCTTGGTGCACCAAGAATTTTCTGCAACTGTTTGACGAAATGCCAGAATTTGGATGTAAGCCAGATTCTTTGACATATAACGTCATGATCAAACTATGTGCTAGAGTCGAAAGGAAAGATTTGCTCATGTTTGTTTTGGATATGATAATAGAAAAAGGGATACCTTTATGTATGACAACAATGCATTCTCTTGTTGCAGCTTATGTCGGTTTGGTAATTTGGAGATTGCGGAGCAAATGATTCAAGCAATGAGCGAAAGGAAGAAAGACATTTGCAGGATTCTAAGGGAGTTGAATTTTGAAGACTGGTATGAAGATGGTGCATCTAGGAAATTGGGAAATGAAAGTGAAGTGTTTGAGAAATTACTTCCCAATTCGATTGATCCTAGTAATAATGAACCTCCAGAGTTACCTGAAGGGATTGCACCTTACTCAAGAATTTACACAACCTTAACAAAAGGTTATATGAAAGTGGGACGGAGAGGCACCGAGAAAATAGAACAGGTCATCCGGACCATGTTACTTAGAGTTTGTTTGGAAGGAATTAAAATTCAATTAAAATTGAAAATATAGTCATTATTAGGTCTCACTCGTCTAATAAAAGTCAACAATAACGGCTAATTTTTCAATTTGAATCCGATTTTAATCTCTACCAAACAAGCTCTTACATGACAATTATTTATGCATTCGTGAAGGCTGGATCTATGGACAAAGCACGACATGTGCTTGCTGAGATGGCCAGAATTCGTGTGCCTGCTAATTTGATTATTTATAATGTTACTCCTGAATGGTTACTGTCAGCAATTGCAGATTGATAAGGCATAGGAGTTTATCCAGGAGATGATTAGTGATGTAGGTAGAGGTGGACAAAATCCGACTGAACCCACCAAAATCGCCCAAACCGAACCAACCGACAGGGTTGGGTCGTTTTTTTGTTGTTTTTACATGGGTTGAATGGGGTGGTTGTGTTGGCGGGGTGGGGCGGGTCGAGTTATGGGTTAACTCNTTGGTGTATTTTAGAGGATGCGTTTATTTTTCTTCCCGTAAGAAATGTGGTATAAGTTTTTCATGTTATGTTAAATGCACTTTGTTCTTTGTAGGCTCGGCTAATGAGGATTGAATAAGATAATAGATAATTTTATTTATTTACTTACTATTTAATCTTGTCTATTCGAATTTAGTATAATAAAAAATTGGATGACTTTAATTTTTGTTAACAAGTCATTTCAAACCGACCAACCCAACCCGGCCGATACTTGACTGGGTTGGGTTGGGTTGGATTGGATTTCAACATTTACACGAGTTAGATTGAGTTAAATTTTGATCAAACCGATCATTGGGTTTGGGTTGAGGCAAAAATCAACACAATCCATGCTGGGCCGCTTGCTTTCTTCAATGAGATGCGATAAAGAGGTATTGCTCCTACTAAAATCCAATTATACCACCTTGATGAAAGCTTTTGCCTTGTCTGGTCAACCAAAGCTAGCTAACAAATTCTTTGATGAAGTGCTTAATGATCCTTGGGTGAAAGTTGATTTAGTTTCCTGGAATATGTCGGGGGAAGGTTATTCTAAAGACTGATTAATGAAGCTAAAATTATAATTCAGAGGATGAAAGATACCGGCTTCTATCCAAATGTGGCCACGTATGGAAGATTTGCCAACGGGATTGCATTTGCCATAAAGCAGGGAGAAGCCCTTCTTCTCTGGATGAAATAAAGGAGAGGTGTGGAAAGGAAAAGGAATGAGAAGAGCCTAATTCTTCTTCAGTTCCCTCACCCTTGAAACCCGATGAACGACTCTTGGATACTCTAGCTGATATTTGTGCAAGGGCAGCTTCTTTAGGAAAGCTTTGGAGATTGTTGCTTGCTTTGAAGAGCACGGATTACCCCCAAATAAGACCAAGTCAAGAGAATACATGTGGTAATGCATTCAAGGATGTTTACAAGTACGCACGCCTCAAGAGCTAGAAAGGACAGAAGAAGGGAAAGGAAAAGAGCAGCCGAGGCTGTCATGTTTTGTTAGGATTGCCTGATTCTTATTATGGAGGGGAGGAGGCTTGACCCAGCAGATGAAGATGAACATGATACTAAAGGTGAAGGTGAAGACCCGGCAGATGAAGATGAATATCTACACTCATGTAGGAGTAGTTGAATGATGAATATCTACACTCATGTAGGAGTACTTGAATTGCTCAGCATCATTAATTACATGACCTCGGTCATGATACATTTTCCATGACTAATGTTTAGGCTTGTACAATTTAAAACAGGATTTGTGTTATATTCTAAGGATTAGGCTACTATGACAACAAAATAAGCCTCAATGTTGATAAGTTTGGGTCGACTACATGAAGTCATGAATTAACTCAAATTAACACAAGAATCCTCTGAAATTAACGGGTGTTAATTTCTAATATTTAATGAAGCTAACTCAATAAGAGCAATATAGAAGAATATGAAAAATGTAGAAATCATACTAAATTTCATTACCATGCACTTAGCATCAATCGTTGAGGTAATATTTACAAATAAAATAAGATTGATTATGCAAATCTATTAATTTGACTCGTTTAAACGCTTACAACTTACAAGCAGGATCACCTGGCATTGGAAGTGAGATTTGATATTCTGCAAGAATATTGCAACCAAAGGAAGGCCACACCCGGTAGGCATCAAATCCAACAGTCAAATAAGCCATAGAAAAATCAACTGCCACAAACAATATCAATGTCGTGTAAATACTAATAATGCTTCAGTCAGGATAGATAAAGCACATGATACCTACTTTTTGACATCAGAATGATGATCAGATATACAACATTTGCCCCCCTCCCCTTCCGCAAGATAAATAGAAAAAGAGTTGAATCATTCATCATTGATCACCCTTTCAAGTCATTAGCCCTTTTATTTGATAGCATCAATTTTCCTCAAAAGCAATAATAGTTAACGTAATCTACTATAAAAGGCGTGGATATCGGGCAGTTTACTATACTTGAGGATGTCAAGTGCTTGAAGACGTCTAGAATCACCATCCATCATTGAAGAAGCTATAGCAGTAATAGAAGAGATGGGGAAACTCAGAAAGTATTTAGAATAATTCAATTTAGAATTAACCTGTTAGCTAGAACTGTGCATAACCTATCCCTTTGACCTTGATGATTGACTACGCGAATAAGATGATGATAACACCTGCAGTACAGAATTTTAGATTCTTGTTTAGGTAGTAATTTCAAGAGCCTCAAACACCATTATCAGATGCTATTTACTTGCATCAGAAATCTGCCCAAGTTTCCACAAACAGCTTGAAGGCCCATAAATGTGTGCACACTCATTGGAGTTATTTGAGACTTTCTGATTCATCCGTTCATTAAAAATGGACGATCAGATTAAATTAAGCTAACAGATAATAATAAATTCATTTGTGTTTACATCCCTGAAAATTCAAGTTCATTTTTCTTTTTTAGCATTTTTGTAAATAAGAATTGCAAATTAATGTGCAGATGATGAAGCCACAATGACACAGTACCTGATATGTCCTTGGCCCCTTCTTTAATAGATAACCAACGCTGTTCAAATTATCTATAAAAGTGTCGATATCTGGAACCCTTAAACCAATCCTATCTGCCAAACTGTATATTTCCTGATCAATTAATGGAAAAGTTGGATGTTTTGTTTACAAATATCACTTTGTTTGTTCAATCCTGATGAATGCAATAATTTAAGTGATCAAGGGTACTTACAGAAATTGAGAAGTTTTCCAGGGTGTACTAGACTTTGTGGTAGATGTTAGGGCTCTTAAAAAATTACATCTATGAGCCAGTGAACTGGATTGATTGGTTGTGGAGTTTTGACTAGGCGGTTGGAAGCGAGATAATAATTTGTAAAGTTGTTCCATCTGTTCAGGATTGAAGGCACCACTGGACTCCTTGGGTTGTTCTCCTTGATAGTCAACCGAAGCCTGATATCCCCGATTTTTGTTTTGTCTGGGTTTCCAATTTCCTGGTTTTCCATGCAACTCCCAGCACGTGTCGTCTCTATGTCCCGATTTACGGCAATGTTCACACTAGAGTCGTCATTTTTGTTGTCTTGGATCGGGCCCATTTACGGCTCCTCTTGAATAAAGGCCCGTAATATCCGGCCCAATTACAGAGTTTTTTTCCAATTCATTTGATGCACCCTTTTTTATTCCAGGCCCAAAATTAAAAACCCCAAAATTAGATGACCTGGGCCCAAAATTAGATGACCCAGGTCCAGCATTGAAAAGAACAGATTTGGACGACCCAAACCCAGACCACTTCGTTGTAAGGGCTGAGTGTTCGGTTCCAGGCGACTCCAATGCTCCACCGCCGGCGTCCATCATAATTTTCCGTCAGTTTTCTTCTCGTCTTACCTCTGCAAAAACTTCCCTCGTCGACGATAAGGGCTTTCTTCCCAGAATCCAGCCCCTAACGTCATCAAGATTACGGTACAGCCCTGCCAAGAATTCAAATACCTGCTCGTTTTCGAGCTTTTTCTTGAATCGTGCGCTGTCTCCAGCACATCCCCACTCTTCCTCGGTGCTCAAGTCCAATTCTTGCCACAAAGCCGTCATCTCAAGGTAATATTCAGTGACATCTCGTTCACCTTGTCGAGTTTGCCAAAATTTGGTTTTGATTTCAAAGATATGGGACGAATTTTCAGAATCTGAGTATGTCTCCTTCACTGCTTCCCAAACGTCCTTTGCCGTCGGTAGAAAGAGATATGTCTTCCCAATGGATGGTTTCATCGAGTTTACTAGTCAAGCAGTCACCATCGAATTCTCTGACTTCCATTTTTGAAGAGAGACGATATTTGTTGAGGCTGGCTTCGTTGCTTCACCAGTGAGGTAACCCAATTTTCCTTTTCCATCAATGATCAGTTTGATCGACTGAGCCCATTCGCGAAAATTCCTCCCGTTCAGTTTTTCAACTGTTAATTGAAACGATGAAGTTTCCCCCGAACCTATTGTAGAGGTACCTTCAGACTCGCAGTTGTGTGAGTCAGAAGTTGTAGATTCCCTTCTGTTGGTAGGGGCTTCCGACGTGATTTTGTTAGGTTAGGAAAGAAAAACACAGCTCTGATACCATGAAGAGAAAGTTAAATGTATCTTTCTTATTAATTTACAACTCAATACATCTATTTATAGTACAAGGAAAGGAAAAATATAAGGAAAGAAATAAGTCTACAATCTAAAAGATTACAATATTCCACACATGGAAAGATAAATCATCTCAAATCATTCCTAATCTTGACCCCTATTATTACGTGATTTCAACAGGCAGCTTCTTTAGGAAAGCTTTGGAGATTGTTGCTTGCTTTGAAGAGCACGAATTACCTCCAAATAAGACCAAGTCAAGAGAATACATGTGGTAATGCATTAAGGATGTTAACAAGTACGCACGCCTCAAGAGCTAGAAAGGACAGAAGAAGGGAAAGGAAAAGAGCAACCGAGGCTGTCATGTTTTGTTAGGATTGCCTGATTCTTATTATGGAGGGGAGGAGGCTTGACCCAGCAGATGAAGATGAATATCTACACTCATGTAGGAGTAGTTGAATTGCTCAGCATCATTAATTACATGACCTTGGTCATAATACATTTTCCATGACTAATGTTTAGGCTTGTACAATTTAAAATAGGATTTGTGTTATATTCTAAGGATTAGGCTTCTATGACAACAAAATAAGCCCCAATGTTGATAAGTTTGGGTCGACTACATGAAGTCATGAATTAACTCAAATTAACACAAGAATCCTCTGAAATTAACTGGTGTTAATTTCTAATATTTAATGAAGCTAACTCAATAAGAGCAATATAAAAGAATATGAAAATGTAGAAATCATACTAAATTTCATTACCATGCACTGAGCATCAATAGTTGGGGTAATATTTACAAATAAAATAAGATTGATTATGCAAGTCTATTAATTTGACTTGTTTAAACGCTTACAACTTACAAGCAGGATCACCTGGCATTGGAAATGAGATTTGATATTCTGCAAGAATATTGCAACCAAAGGAAGGCCACGCCCGGTAGGCATCAAATCCAACAGTCAAATAAGCCATAGAAAAATCAACTGCCACAAACAATATCAATGTCGTGTAAATACTAATAATGCTTCAGCCAGAATAGATAAAGCACATGATACCTACTTTTTGACATCAGAATGATGATCAGATATACAACATTTTCCCCTCTCCCCTTCCGCAAGATAAATAGAAAAAGAGTTGAATCATTCATCATTGATCACCCTTTCAAGTCATTAACCCTTTTATTTGATAGTATCAATTTTCCTCAAAAGCAATAATGGTTAACGTAATCTACTATAAAATGCGTGGATATTGGGCAGTTTACTATACTTGAGGATGTCAATTGTCAAGTGCTTGAAGACGTCTAGAATCACCATCAATCACTGAAGAAGCTATAGCAGTAATAGAAGAGATGGGGAAACTCAGAAAGTATTTAGAATAATTCAATTTAGAATTAACCTGTTAGCTAGAACTGTGCATAACCTATCCCTTTGACCTTGATGATTGACTATGCGAATAAGATGATGATAACACCTGCAGTACAGAATTTTAGATTCTTGTTTAGGTAGTAATTTTAAGAGCCACAAACACCATTATCAAATGCTATTTACTTGCATCAGAAATCTGCCCAAGTTTCCACAGACAGCTTGAAGGCCCATAAATGTGTGCACACTCATTGGAGTTATTTGAGACTTTTTGATTCATCCATTCATTAAAAATGGACGATCAGATTAAATTAAGCTAACAGATGATAACAAATTCATTTGTGTTTACATCCCTGAAAATTCAAGTTCATTTTTCTTTTTTAGCATTTTTGTAAATAAGAATTGCAAACTAATGTGCAGATGATGTAGCCACAATGACAAAGTACCTGATATGTCCTTGGCCCCTTCTTTAATAGATAACCAACGCTGTTCAAATT